AGCAAAAAGAAAAAAATACAGTAGGCACTGAGTAGGAAGACAGATTCTGCATGTTCAAAATATAATAAACAAGATCCTACTGCATCAAAAACTATCTTTCTGCATTTTTCTTCAATTCAATCCAAAAAAAGTGTATATAAAAAATAAAAACAAACCTGTTATAAAGACATCTGCATTCACTTTACTTGCGCAGCCGCATCTCACATAGTCAGTATGTTCACTATATGAGACGATTTCTGTAGCATTCGGAATATCCCACAAATTTGACGAATAATCATCACCACCAGAAAATACTCGGTATTTATCAAACAGGAAACCCACTACATGAACAGGTCTAGAAACCAAAGTCCACAATACCCAAAGTTAAAATACATACTTTTTTCCAGAAAAGTTAGTCTGTATGAAGAGCTTATTATTCTCTCTAACTTAAAAGTGCAGTGTTTACTGTTTGAAGGTACAAAGCCTCACTTTAGATGTATAAAATCTAAAAGAGGTTTTAATTTCCAGCCAGAAGATGGTCATGCTGATAGAGCTTATCTTAAGCTTACCTAAGCACTGATATAATCTGCCTTAAAAGTTTTACAGGTCTACTAGAGGCTCATTGAAAAGCTGTAAATTCTGCATCTGTTACTTAGAAGACTGTGTACTAGCACTGTCCTTTAGAAAAAAATATATAATAGTGAATTTTAAGTATGACTGGGCTGGACATTCTTCTTGTCCTTTAAAATCACTGTTTAAATCTGTATTATCAGCAGAGAATGACTTTGACAGAAAACACAGATACCCTAAATCTTTTTACAGTTAACCTAGTGGTTAGGACATAAATTAATACCTGATCTACAAACACAGACCTCAAACAGAAACACTCCTAAGGTCTGCCTGTATGCTTCCCAGTGAAAGGGGGTTTGTTGTTGTTCTAGATAGATAAAACATGTATTGGTCTTCCACAGCACATCAATCTGTTTAATCTAAGCATTACCACTGTCGTCTTCTCACTGGTACATCAGAACTCCTAACTCCTTCCCCACTCCAACCCCACTCCACCATCACATCCTTTTCCTGTTTTGTTTTTTTTTAAAGGATTCCTACTCTTCACTGTTTTCGTTTAGCCACTTTTTAGAACTCTTTTCCTGCCAGCATCAAATAAAATGTGCTTATCAGTGCCACACAGTCACAAGACTATATCTACACGACATATTAACAGACACATACCTGAATTAGCAAATGTATGTATTCTTTCATGTACTCAATTTGTATTTAGAATTTATTTTAAAAATCACTCAAATTTGAATTAAATTTTAAAATCTACTTTTCAGTAAGATCTACGTGAGATAGTTGCAAGAAACACAGACTAGTATTAACCAGACATGCAAAGAAGACATATACAAATACAGCAAACAAGCTTATGCACAAAAAGAAAAAAACAACACTGTCTTACTTTGTATGACCCTCAAACTGTCTCAGCGGTGCTCTTCCACTGATGTCAAAGAGGCGAATGCTCCCTTCCTCGCTGCCAGCAACTAGCAGGTTGCCATCATCTCTGTATGTGGCACAATAAGCAGCATCTTTGAAGCGAGAAAACGTTTTGATCGGTTCTTGAGAGTAACGACCATAAATGTGGATCTACCAAAACAAGAAGACATTAAGTTTGCTCACACGATACCAACTGAAGGATAAGAACGTAAAAACCTCAGAAAAACCACTTACCCTTGAAGAGGCTGTGACAGCATAGTTATATGGAGGAACTGGGGAGAAGTCAACTTTATTTACTGCACCAAATTCCTTAATCTGAACAGGTGTCTAAAATAATTGTGACAAAGATCATTAGATACACATCAGCACACTATCAAAAGGGAAAACAGCAAAACAAAACCTAGTCTTCCTACAGACAGCTCAAAACTCCATTTAGAAACAAATAATTTTTTAAATACAATCCTATAGAGTTTCTCTTCTGCTAGGCTACTTCTGCCCTTTTTTATTTTTTTTTTTCCCCAATTCTCACGTTACAATGGACCCCTTATTTATGTCCTTTAAGGAAAAAAACATCCTTATTCACTCACGCATGTTCAAAAATACTTTGATTAGTCTCGCGGAAGCAGTAAAAATAAATCTTCTAGGACAACAACTACGTCTGTTGGGCCACTTCGAGGCACAAGTCAGCGTCGTTTCCCAGGAAGCAGTCTAACAGGTCTCAGGGCGGTATCAAGGTGCCGCAGGCGCTGGTAGCACACGCCCGGGCCCGAGAGCAGACCCCCGCCGGGCACGGAGCACAGAGGCCGGCCCGCTGTCCCAAGGCCCCGCGCCGCGGGGGGCTGCCGCCTACCTTGTAGCCCCGCC